CCAGGGGGGTTAAGGACATCGTCGAAAGCTTAGGATCGCGGTTGGTCAGTGGCAATTACCATGAAAATTTCGGAAGTGTTGTCATGGAAATGGCGTAAGATCCGCCATGTTTTTGGCCAACCTCGTCCCCAGGGTCTTCTTCGTACATGGCGCGTGAAAAATGAGAAGACCCTGGTAAAGGCTGCGAAAATCTCCACGATTCATGGACATTTTAGTGCATGCGCGAAAGCGAATTTGCCTTGGCGCTGACCAATTCATTGCTGGCGTACAAATTTTTCATGGCCTTCTTGAGATGAAATATTTCAGTTTGGAAATGTATTTTTTTGCTAAAATATACCTTTAGATAAGTAATTTCTCTTCAAAAATAAAGATGTCTAGAGAGAGAAAATAACAAGAAGCTAGCCAGTCTAATTTATATCTTCCTGGCCGAAGAATCCGCGTTGTTTGTCATGTCTCACGGCTGCTTGCACTGGCAGTCAGACAGCACTGTCACTGTGAAGGTAATTGAAAAACTACAATATATTATTTTTATTCATATTATAATTCAACAATAATGGCCCTATGACTGGTGCTAATATGCCTACAAAGTATTTTTTTAAAGCGCTTAGTTTTGAGAAATTATAATTTGATATAAATGAACATTTACTAGTGGGCCATCCATAGACTCATCACTAATCCATTTTACACTGTGAACGTTGCACTTGTTCAAGTTATTTTGACTAAAAGTTATCGCATGTTAATAAATACTCTATTATATAATAATACTGTAATTTATAGTTTATTTCCTTGGAGCATGCAAAGTGCTTACATGTGGAATAATTTGCCTTAGATCCACAGCTCTCACATAGGAGATTAGAACTACCATAATTCCTTTTACACATCCTAGTACATTTTACTATCTAAAAGTGCATTTCCCAATCCCCTTTCAGACAGCAGAAATTTCATTTGTATTGCAAATTTATATTGTGCACTGAATGGTGAATCAGTAAAACTAAAAGATTGCCAACCAGTTTAGAGATAGTTTTGTTCAAATGTAACTTATGTCATAAGTATGTTTCTCCCTCAGTTAGAATAAATCTACTGTTAATAAATTAATTGGATAGATTTAGTGTAACATATAGATTTAGGTTTCCAGTTTGTGAAATGAAATGCAAATCAATTGCATTATATTTTAGATACTCATGCTTCTCAAACATCAATATGGATAAAACAAGGACTGTCAAGAAGACTGCAACTGTATATGTACAACTTATTGGGGATGGGAGTTGGTCTACACATATAGGAATGTTGATAATATTAATGAGATTATTAAGAAAACCACAAAGTCGACAACTATCCTAGATTCCATAATATTAGGAAGCTGGCTCAACTATACTTAATATTCTGGTAATACTCAAGAAAGTGACATGGCAATTCAACAATGCATATACAACAGAAAGAGATATTTCCATACCAAGACAATTCTTACTGAATTAGTATTTAGCTGATATTTCATTTTTTACAGTATTTAAAGTTATATACAGTGCTGTTTAAGTTAAAATATAACAAAGTTACTTGGTTCAAAATCTGGTCTTTGTTTTTCCTTCTCTGTACTATGCAAGGGTAGAGAAAAGAGGTGGTAATATGCATCCTCACATGCGGCTGTAGGAACTCTCACTCATATGGAAAACGAATTGGATCATTCCAGAAAAGATCCATACTCCCCCCACGGAGGAAATTTCTGCCGTCCGGAGGGGGAGGGGAGAAAAAATTGTTTCTGATAATAGTAAATGTATTAGGACATCCAAAGGGGGTTAACTTCCTATTTCCTCTGTGGGGGTGGTATGGATGTTTTCTGGAATGACCTATTCTCAGTCATTTCAAAAAGTAAGCCTTGGAGCTTTTTGGAAATTGATTTCATTCATGCTTCAACAACCGATCTCCTGCATGTACATCATTGCAAAATGTGCAGCCAGCCTGCAATGTCCAAACCACAGTTCTCCACAACATTTGTTCTCATTGAGCTGTCCATTGATGAGGAAGTGTAGTGTGGAGACAAACAATTTTGATTTGGCTGCATTTATTTGAACACTTGCTTTATTATATGTACATCCCTCACTGATTCAATAGTTGCTAATGTAAATTTGTACTAGCTCTGCAGGACAGATGTGTTCAATTTTTCCTATACGGTATGGAATAAAGATCATGCTGTTAGTGTTACATGCATGCAAATGGTAATTCACAACGATGTAAAGGCTAATGAAATTCAATTATGGGTTGTCCATAACTACCAACATTTCCTGAAGTGTAGAAACTATACGCTTCAGGTAGGCAGGTTCATAACCACCATACGCTTTTTAAATGTTGAACTATAGACCCACCATCATCGGTTAAGTCGCTGTGGGAGGGGGTTGAAAAGTGTACTCTCTGTACACCTATGATAATTATGGATGATTTACAGTGTAACACTAATGCTAGATTTAACTGAAAATAATTTTATAGTTATGTTGAATATATTTGAAATGTTCCATTTGTGGAGGTCAGTGGCATATATTCTTGTGGAAAATTCAAGTAGCTGTGCTCCAGCAGCTAGCTGCAGTGCCACAAATTATTGACATAACCAAAATTTTAATATTGCATGGGATCTTTATAGATTCGCTTTTATATATTTCCTGGTGACCTATGAGCCCAGCAAGAACTGCTTACTTTATTATTATAATTTAAACATGTATCAATTAAGCTATACAAACAGCAATCGTTCTGTGCGTCTATTTCTGCTATAAAAATGTATATTCAGCCGAGACTGATATTAAACTGTCACTTGAAGCAGACAAGAGGTGTTCGTATTAAACAAGTGGTAGTATTTGAGAGAAACTAGAACGTCACAAACGCAGCTGGTTCTGTGGTTTGTTTGATCATACAGTGTGTGTGTATATTTCATACCTTCGATAACGATGTGAACATTAGCTGTCTCAACTTTGAAGTACCAAAATGATGTCTATATTTATTCACACTACGATGTCCATTATATATTGTGCCTGATATTAGGCTGAAAGTTGGAAAATATTTGCCAGAAACAAGCTTCGCGCCTTGGCGAAGCATGCATTTTACTCTAAAGCAAATTATTGTTGTGAAAATCCTTATAAATCATGCAACCAATCGTAGCGCTCATTACAAGAAGTATTTAGCGGTAAACCAATCATGTTTATTGTAACAACATCCTCAAAGCACATGTCAAGGTCAAATGTATAAACCAATCACAACGGAGTTTAGAAGAGCCTTTACCAGGGTCTTCTCATTTTTCACGCGCCATGTACGAAGAAGACCCTGGGGACGAGGTTGGTTTTTGGCGACACTTTTTTTCCCCGAGCAGGTCCTCCAGTAATATAGTATAGCTCAGTGGATTAGAGTCATTAGATCATATGCATTAGATCCACTGAGCTATAATATTACTGGAGGAGGTGCTCCTATCTCTCGTCAGTCAAAAAAGTGTCCGCAAAAACATGGCGGATTTTCACGTTTGCTGACGCCATATGGTTCCTCCGGCTCATGGCAATTACCACCGCGATCCTAAGCATCGGAAAAAGACCTTCGCCCCCCTGTTTTTGCACAAATATTTTATGTTTTCAAGACAAAATCATGCCTTTTTTCTCCACTTGTGGATGCAAAAATTCGCTGTGAAGACTTTAAAAGGAAGAATATTTCTTCTGAAAGGTAAGATTTGTGAAAACTTTAAGTTTTTACCTTTTATTCGACTAATTCTCGATTGGCAAAGTCAGGGGCCGATATATGCGTATAAAATCGAGGTATAAATATGTATTTGTCAAACACTTATATTTTATATTTACACCAATATTTCTGAAGCAGACATAAAAAACGTTGTAGATGGTTATTTATACATTGTGTACATACATTTTCTTTCTAGTTTCAGGCACTGGCTTTTGTTTTTAGTGCCAGTTTAATAGTTTAAACATCATGCTGCTCATGCAATCTGTAGTTTGCTTTGTTTCATAAAGAGCAGTTAGCACTAGATTATATATAGTATAAACAAGCTGTATTGTATCCTTCACAAATATTATAAACTGCTAGTCTTGCTACTTGCTAGGTTTTGTATCAGCATTTACCAATTGGCTGTGCAATTTAGGCTTTTTTTGTGGGGTTGTGCACTACGTTTCAGTTCAGCATCGAGCTATCATCGACTTGTGCATACCCAAATTTGCATGATTTATACTTATATTCTTGCATTGGCATTACCTTGAATGCTAGTATGGGTCAACCTGACAACCTCTATGCCTCATAAAAATCTCCAAACAAAAAACCTCCTTCACTCAGAAAGTATACCTCTGTCATGGGAGTCTTGATTTATGTTTAGCCATATATTTATTTAGTCCCTTAGAGGTTAACCCATTGAGTCACATTGCACCCTACTTATTATTTTGCTCTGTCTGATGCCAGATGAGTTTACTCATCAAGTAGAGAGTGCTGGTGCTTAATGGGTTAATAACTAGCCTATGCGTCTAGTTATGAGTCGCATTGCACCGATGCGCCCTTTACTCTGTCTAACGCCAGATCATTTTACTCTGTCTAACACCAGATAATTTTACTCATCAATTGGGGAGAGCGATGGCGTTTAATTCAGATTTATACAAGATTAGTGGTGCACCAGAGCTAACAGTTCCAATCCAGCCACAGCTGTAACTTGCAAAGTAGGGGTGGTGGTCTGAGCTAACTGGCCAGAACCTACAGTATGCACCCATTGCAATTAATTTTGAAATGTACACAGTTTCACACCATAGAACAAAACAATCATAAACAAAGTAACTTTATTTCTCATTTCTATTACAGGCATCAAAGTGATATACAAGAACTGAAGCAAAAATGTTCTTGCTGTAACAGATGTATTGTATCATGATAGTTAACATTGATGTATATGATCTTATTTGGGTGTACAATGTGTAGTAATACAGTATCTGTAGTAGTAATCTGTTATTGCTACCAAAAGAAAATTGAAAAGAGTCATTGGGTCATTCAAAAAAATATCCACACCCCTAATGGAAGAGATGGGAGGTTCAGCTTCCTCCCACTTTTGGACACCCTTAGCTAATACTTTTACTATTATCAGCAGTTGAGTTCTGCCCACTTCAGACAGCACTTCAGACATCTGTGGAGTTAGTGTTTATCTTTTCTGGAATGACTCATTGGTGATTGGTAGTTAATAATTATTCATTGAAGAATTTAAATTAAAATAATACAATTTCAACTGCATCATTGTGGAAATAAATAAGTAAACAAAAAACAAGAAGAGACTATAAAAGAAAAAAGAAAAAATATATCAAGGGAAAATGAGGAATACAAAAGAAATATACTGCAATAAACAAGAATAGATTATATAGGTTACTCTAAAAGAGAAAAAGCATGAAAAATCATATCAAGGGAAAATGAGGAATACAAAAGAAATATAAAAGAAATATACTAGGTTTTCAGACGATGCTCAAACTTTGTTGGCAAGTTGAGTGACCCCTTAAAAATACATTGTTTTTTCAGAATTATATTTGTCAAGAAACTATTAGAAGTTACAGAAACCATAATCCTATGTGTATGTACACCAAAAGCTAAAAAAATACGAACAAATATAAAGGCCCCAAGCTCTTCAGCTGAAACGTCGAGGTTTATTTGTCTTAGTCTTAGCTACAGTGGTTGCATCATCCTGCACTAACTAGAACCCCCCACCCAAAAACTACAATCATAGTGATTCAAAACTCCTTAAGGTACTCCGACAGCAGAATGAGCTTCCTTGAGTACCTCTAGCTTTTGCATATAAAGTTAGTACAAAATATAAAATACTATAAATTCTCTTTGTTATTCCCTCAAAATATAGTGGTAAGTACTAGCTGGTGGCATATTATACTGTACTTTCATGTCATTATAAAATCAGTCCCCAGGGTCAAATTAAGATAATTTGATATTTGTAAAATGCACAGTTTCGTTATAAATTTTCAAAATAGTATCATGAAATACAAACTGCACAGCAGGCTTATTCAAAACATCATAAAATATGCAACAAATAGAGCATTTACAAATAAACAATAGATCAAAATACCATTTTGCTCACGATTTAAATGAAACGAAAGTTGATTACTTTGTACAACAAGGCTTTAGAGACCTTTACATACTTGTGGCTAAAATATAATACATTGTACCACAGTTAAACCCAACAATTTTTGTAGAAAATTTGCTCGAGTGTGACTCAGTGTGTGAAGTTATGAACTGAGAAATATTTTACCTGTAGTTGCGGCTTCAAATATCGTCTTTGCGGATGTATTTCGAAGTTTTCTGTCTTTTGAGGACGAGAATATAATGTGTACGACTTGCACACATTTGAACCAGTGGTCAAAGTTACAAAAAAATATGAAAAAATCAAAAACTACGAGAATATACTGCAAATACTTCAACAAGCAAAAATATTTTAATAAGAACCAGGGGGGTGTGAAAGTCGTAGCGGGCTCAAAATTGAGCCTGGTCAGTGGTAATTACCATGAGCCGGAGGAACCATATGGCGTCATTCTGGCGTCAGCAAAGGCCGAAATCCGCCATGTTTTTGCGGACACTTTTTGATGCCGAGCACGTCCTCCAGTAATATAGTATAGCTCAGTGGGCTTATCCCA